TTAGTACTTTTCTCAATTCTTTCCAGTTCACTTGGTTCAGCTTTTGCAAACGTGTTCTTTGGGCATCTTCCATTTGATGCTTTATTTTCTCAGCTGATTGAACAATATCTATTGATGTTTGTTCTTCAGTGTTTCCTTGTTCTTTATCTTCATCCATTTCAGCATCCTCTTCCTCCCTTTTTTCCTCAGTTTGCTTTTGAGTCTGCAGATCATTCTTGGTGTTACTCTTCTTTGTTGGTATACTCAGACCATTAGTTGCTTTCTCTTCGATTCCTATTAATTCTGCTGTATTGAAAAATTTGTTGCTTAGAATTACGTGTCATTGGTCCATTAGCCTTTGTTCACTGATATCACAGTCTGTGTGGTTCACCTTCCAAATCTGATACATTCATTTTTGAAAGCCACGTTTTGTTGGCTCAGACTGATAGTAAGCTTTCATAATAGAGATGTTTTCTTCCCTAGTCCAGATTTTTCGCTTTTTCACTTTTTCTTCCAGTAGCTTGTCAGCTCCATGCCCTCGTTGCCTAGCAGAGGGAGCTGAGCCCAGTAGCTCATTTTGCGCAGAATGCTCAGGAGCCATAGCATCCAACGGAACCCTTGTTAATCCGGGCGATGGTTCAGCCGGCATAAATTTCATTTTTTTCATATTCACCATATTTGAATGGGTTGTAGAACAAATTTTGTCTGGCCCTTCACCTGAGACCTGTCTGATATGGTTGCACCTGTTCAGCATAGCCCTTAGAATCATTAGAGCATGCAAGCCCCTCCACCACGACAAGGTAAAGCTCCTCAGAGGGGTTGTTGTTGTTGTTATTGTTGTTGCTGTTGTTGTTATTATTATTATTATCATCAGATCTGCGAATTGAGTAATGGGCCTGAGCCCATGTATTGCTCATGTTGACTTATGATAGTCAACATAGACTTTTTTTTTTTACCTCAGTCACTGTTTTTATGTGCATGGGTGGGTATTGTTTTTTAGGCTTTTATATTTTCTTTTAACACTATTAATCACCCAGTCATGAATTTGAGATTGAAATAATAAATAAATAGATAAAATTAGAATGTTTATAATTCAGTATTGTATTATATTCAGTATATAGTATTAGAGTCTTCTTTGAAAGGAAGCAATGTAAGTTACATGGGCACTGTATGATAGAAGTTATGGCATGTATATTAGAAACTTTACATGATTATCAACAAATCAGCTGATTTCGTGCTCAAGATTGGTAACAGAAATGAACAAGTCAGATTCTAACTATTAATAAACATAACACAAAATTAACACAAACATTTATTTCTGCTAGGATTACTTCTTTGTTTCTTTGCTTTCTAGATCGCGAGAATCAGTCAATCCTGATCACGTGAGTACACCTCCAATAATCATATTTCTGGTCATCAGAAGTTTCACAGAGCAATATATTGGCTAACAGCCTGGTCTTTTACTCGGTTTTAACAGCGGAGAATCTGGTGCTGGAAAGACTGTGAACACGAAACGTGTCATTCAGTACTTCGCAACAATTGCTGCAACTAGTGACAAGAAGAAGGATGAACCACAGCAAACTGGCAAGTTAAAGGTAAAGTACGGCTTTTGGAGAAGATTATACATTCCTTTCTGACAATTTCATTATGTATAAAGGTTGACTTAGTAATTCTACTTTTACAGGGCACCCTTGAAGATCAAATCATCAGTGCCAACCCCTTGTTGGAAGCTTTTGGAAATGCCAAGACTGTGAGGAATGACAATTCATCTCGCTTTGTAAGTTACAGTTTGAAACATGTGTGGGAGTATAATTCTTTTTGTGCAAATCTTCTTAGCATCCTACTAAAAATGACAATGAATTAGAGACAACAAGGTTGTGTTTGGGAAGGGAGCCTTTTTGACAAGCTACAATGTTATTGTACTTGTTTTTCAGGCTAAGAATGCCTCACATCAAACCTATGCAGCAGCATCAAAATAATATAAGCAGTTTTGTCAGGAGTGGGATCCTATTGGTTTAACAACCAGTTTGCTGAATGCGCGCTCCCAGCTGTTCTTCGGAGCTACAGCTTTGCCCAAACCACTCCAAACCGGTAGAATCCCATCCCTGAGTGTTGTGTTATTGAACTGCAAGCTCCACCCCTTTGGGATGTGTCTATGACATCACAATGCACTTACAAAAGGGGAAGGCCTTCTGTCAGGACAATGCCACTTCAGTCATTCTGTCCTTCCTTGCCTGCCCCCCTTCCCCATCCCCATGGATGCTGATGAAGAGGTCCATCCATAGGCCAAGTCCCATTTGGAACACTGAAACCCAGGACCAGTTTAAGGAAGCTTAGCCCTCCTTTCCTGTTTAACATGGTGCACTGTGACTCTGGTCTTTGAAAAGGAAAGAAATTGATTGCAATTATTATTTGCAATATTTCACGTTCACATTCATTTCATCTCATTAAATGAAGAATAAAAATATTATTTATCAATCATTACTATCATATCAACCCACTTTTTGTTTCTCTTATATAATAAACTTCAACTGTTGTCCCAAAGGTGTTATTCAAAAGGCAACTGGCTTTCCCTCCCTCCTTCCCTCCCTCCTTCCCTCCCTCCCTCCTTCCTTCCTTCCTTCCTTCCTTCCTTCCTTCCTTCCTTCCTTCCTTCCTTCCTTTCTTTCTTTCTTTCTTTCTTTCTTTCTTTCTTTCTTTCTTTCTTTCTTTCTTGCCTTTTGAACAACACCTTTAGGACCTGGATGACTATGAATCTCCATAGACAAACCTCAACTGTTTTTCTCCTTTAGTTCACTCACATTTTACAATTTTATTAAAGTTTAATAATTATTGTATCATGAATATTATTAAAATAAAGTTTAACATATGGCATATTTAAAATTTTGTATTCTTAAAATGGTAAACTCATTCACTTTTTTTCCTTAAAACCTCTGACACAAATTAAGTTTAAAAAATTACTATTTTAAAAAAATTCCATACATTCTGTAGCCAGAGACTGAAATTCCTGCTATTAAAAGGAGAGATCTTTGTAACATCCTATTGTAGAGTTAAATAAATACATTGAGAATTTATTAAATTAAATACTATTTTCTCCACAGGGCAAATTCATCAGAATCCATTTTGGTGCCACTGGCAAGCTGGCTTCTGCAGACATTGAGACATGTAAGGGATATTTCTTTGTGTGTTTATTTGACCCTTCCTTCCTTCCTTAACTAATTCAACTTCATTGCTTTGCCAGATCTGCTGGAGAAGTCCAGAGTTACCTTCCAGCTCAAGGCTGAAAGAAGCTACCATATCTTTTATCAGATCATGTCCAACAAGAGGCCAGAACTGATCGGTAAGGAGAATCATCCATTTGGAGGACTATTTCGACTATCAAACATTAAGAAATGTGCTGATGCTTGAAAATGAAATCATGTTTGGGCTTCTTTTTATGCAGAGATGCTTCTGATTACTACCAACCCATATGACTTCCATTTTGTCAGCCAGGGTGAGATCAGTGTTGCCAGCATTAATGATCAGGAAGAGTTAATGGCAACTGACGTAAGTAATTTGCAGAATCGGGAACATAAAATTGTAATTTGATTAGACAGACAATAATATTTGGTTTAAATGTTTGAGTGTATGTGAGATTTGGGCATACGATGAGAGGCATAATGTTCCAAGAGGAACACTGGTGGAGACAACTGCAGACTACTGTACTTGCCAAAATGATTTCAAGTGAGTTTGAACTCTCAAGGTGGCTCAGTGATGGGTTAGACAGAATCCTTTCTATTGCTTGAATTACTAGGAAGCCATTGACATCCTGGGCTTCACTGCTGAGGAAAAGACAGCCATTTACAAGCTGACTGGAGCTGTCATGCACTACGGGAACATGAAGTTCAAGCAGAAGCAGCGGGAGGAGCAAGCTGAGCCAGACGGCACGGAAGGTATTTGAAAAAATTATGGCAAAATCATTTAAAATAATTCAGAACAAAATAGGACATCATTTTGCAGAAACACATCCCATGCTTCCCTAGCGTTATCTAGAAGGATACTCATATTGATCAATTGGAATAGATAGTAGACCATAAAAATATTATGCTATCATCTATTTATTAGTATTTAAGAAGGAGGAAGTTTTCATATATTTTTTTACTGATATTATAGTAAATACTCTTGTAACATTTTTCTTCTTTTTCAAAAATCACTTTTTGGTAAGTGAAGCTATAATTTTAGAGAATGAACATTCCCATCATTGGGCAAGTAGAACTCAGCCAACAGTAACCAAAAGTCTCTTTTGTACTTTTTCCAAAATTGTACTGATTTTCATGTTTATTAGTTAACTGTTCCAAATTGCATGGATACAGTGGGATTTATAATTAAAAAAAGACTCTAACTCAAAACTCTTTCTTGCCTATTTCAGTTGCTGACAAGGCTGCCTACCTCATGAATCTCAACTCAGCAGATCTGTTGAAAGCTCTGTGCTATCCCCGGGTCAAAGTCGGCAATGAATATGTCACCAAAGGCCAAACTGTCCAGCAGGTAATGTTACATTAAACCAACTCTCACAAATCCTGGCATCCCCCAAGGTGAATGGAATTATAACTATAATCCTTGTAGCATCAATATTCAAAACTGTAATTAATAATGATAAAATCCATTTTTCTTTCTTAGCTATATTCTATAGGCTAAGGCACCTGAATAATAGAACATCAAGAATCTAAGATTCTTATGTAATTATAACTGAACTAACCAATTGTACCAAACTGGGAAGATGGAGCAGTAGATGATCTACATCAATAGATTTAAAAATATGTTAAATGATTGAGCTAGATCTATATAAATATTTTATGGATATATTTTTAGTTTCTACAAAGCTTATTCATTTCATATATATATTTGTATATTTTCATATTTTATTAGCACCGCTATATCTTTAGTTGTTCTTCATCTTTATTTCTCTTTCACATACATGTGTATGTATGTATGTATGTATGTATGTATGTATGTATGTATGTCCATATATGAGAGTGTGTGTATATGTATACACATACATATGCTGTATCTAAAATTGGAATAATTATTAATTTAAAATATCCCTTATACATACTGATTTTTGCCATTGTCTTCTTATTCTAGGTCTACAATAATGTTGGTGCTTTGGGTAAGGCCGTCTATGAGAAGATGTTCTTGTGGATGGTCATTCGCATCAACCAACAATTGGATACCAAACAAGCCAGACAATATTTCATTGGTGTGCTGGATATTGCTGGCTTTGAGATCTTTGATGTAAGGAAACTGGGAGAAAGATGTACATATTAACAGATAAGAGGAACAGTGTTTTGCTTTACCCAATCAAATTTATTTCATCTTAATTCATCTTACCAAAACTTTCCCTTCTTTTCTTATAGTATAACAGCTTGGAGCAGCTTTGCATCAACTTCACCAATGAGAAACTGCAACAGTTTTTTAACCATCACATGTTTGTCCTGGAGCAAGAAGAGTACAAGAAGGAAGGAATTGAATGGGAATTCATTGACTTTGGGATGGATCTGGCTGCCTGCATTGAGCTCATTGAGAAGGTTCATTTTATAGTAGACATAACTGATGCATATTTCAGATGGGATAAGAAGTGCTTTAGGTTTCTCTCAAAAATAATTGATGAAAATACAAACTGAAACTACATATAGTAGTTTCTCTTACTCTTGTTTTGTCCTGCCCATTACAGTTTTTGACTGCTCCCTTTCCTTTATTATTATTTTTCTAGAAAGTTTAGCTCTCAGCTTTTCTAATGGCTTTATTAGACGGACAACCTGGTAAAGAATACATAGAATTATAGAGGATCCTAATCAATTTTTAATAATATGCTCAAACCAATTCTTGACATAAAAATAAAAGTATAATTGGAATATATCATATAATAAGTATGAAGCCATGTTAGATATTCATAGTTGCTTATTGAAGTATAATTTAGAAGATGTAGTCTACTTTTCAATGAGAGAGTGTGTCTCCATGTTTATATTTCATTGCTTTTCAGCATCTCTGTTCTGATTTTACTTGTCTGTATATACTTGCTTGAAGAAGCATGTTATTCCAAAGTTCAATATTCTCTCCAGATGCTGTCTAAGCAACCATGTCATTGTTCTTTGTAGCCCATGGGCATTTTCTCCATCCTGGAAGAAGAGTGCATGTTCCCAAAGGCAACAGACACGTCCTTCAAGAACAAACTTTATGACCAGCATCTTGGCAAATCAAGCAACTTCCAGAAACCCAAGCCTGCCAAAGGCAAGGCTGAGGCCCACTTTGCCTTGGTACACTATGCTGGCACTGTGGATTATAATATCAGTGGCTGGTTGGAGAAGAACAAGGATCCCTTGAATGACACCGTGGTAGGACTCTACCAGAAATCCTCAATGAAGACTTTAGCTTCGTTGTTTGCTGATCGCCCTTTAGAAGGTGAGAACTATAATGAAATGATTTTTTCCCCTTGAATGAGAAAAAATGTTCAAGAAATGTGAGGTTTATTTATTTTTTTCTATTCATTTCGATTTTAGAGGGCAAGAAGGCTGCCAAGAAGAAGGGTTCTTCTTTCCAGACTGTGTCTGCACTTTTCAGGGTATGGTAAAATGCTATACTGGGATTCCTTTGTGAGTAAGGGAAAATATATTATGTAGTAATAATCCAACAACTCATTTGTGTATTTAAGAAAGCTATTGAATTGGACTGAATTTTTAGAATTCGCAAATTAAAATGATTCTTCCCATGTTCCTCCCAACCTTGTCACTGTCCGACTCTGCTGACAGCTCCGCTGGCTGCTAGTGGGCCACAAGAATATGTTAGGTCTTCGTGGAGTTTGAATATTGTTGTTCGTCTTATTTTTAATCCATCCAATGACTAGAATTCATTTGCATTCAATAGAGCTATATACCCCTGCTTGTTTGGATTCATGATTTTCCTTTATAGGAATACATTGATTTGTTTGGAATTTTGTACAGAAATGCTTCTTTTCTGGATCTATAGGAGAACTTAAACAAACTGATGTCCAACCTGAGAAGTACTCACCCACACTTTGTGCGTTGCATTATTCCCAATGAAACAAAAACGCCTGGTAAGGCATTGTTGAGGTTATGATAGATATTTTACAATGCTTGTCCCTCTCTATGTGGTTTGGTCCTGATTCTTTTTTTAATCATCTTTTTTAAAGGTGCTATGGATCATGAACTTGTGCTTCATCAGCTGAGATGCAATGGTGTACTGGAAGGCATCCGCATTTGCAGAAAGGGATTTCCCAGTAGGATCATTTATGCTGATTTCAAACAGAGGTCAGCTTGACCTTCTTATAAGGGTTCCTTACATCTCTCTCTCTGTGTGTTTCCTCTCTTTCTCCTCCCTCCTCTTTCCCCCTCTTCCTTTCCCTTTCCCTCTCCCACCCTCTTCTTCTTCCCTCCCACTCTCTCATATATCTATCTATCGTCTGTCTATCTATCATCCATCCATCCATCTATCTATCTATCTATCTATCTATCTATCTATCTATCTATCTATCTATCTATCTATCTATGCCAATTATTTGTCATAGTAACTCTCTGTGATATTGTACTTCTATCCTAATTTAACATTCAAATAGATTCAAGATATTAAAGGATTAGATTAATTGAAAACAGCAATCATATCGATAGGGAGAATAGCACATTGGCGGATGATGAACAGGAGTTTTGCTCATTTCTCCCTTTTCAGATTTTTATTCCTTTTGACAGTTTTTCTTCCATTGAAAATAACAGGAAGGAAATCGTAAATGTTGTCTTGATTTAGGGGTGAGTGACTTTAGGTTCTGCCGAATCAAAATATTACCTTGTTGGTCATGTTTATCATTCCTTTAGAGAGCAAGAGTGCTGGTAAAGGATGTGTAAGCATGGTATTTTCCTCCAATGACAAATTTATCTCTTTTTGAAGGAAAGATCCAGCCTGTCCCATGACACCTTGGAAACCTTCTTACATATCCTTGGCTTGTAACCTTAGAACAATGCATTAAATATAAATGACTTTAGAATTGAACTCTCTTATTTTCTCAGTGTAATGGTATGGTTTAGAGTTTAAGAGAGTTTTCCATTCTGGACACCCAGACCAAAAATATATATACATATGCTCTTTTCACCAGTTTACTTAGAAGTCAAGAGACTGAAAAAAGTTTCCACCTTAGCAGGATTGAATTTCTATAGCTTCAGAAATTGGGGAAAAAGAGCAAACTTTACTGTTGAGACTTTTGTAATCTAATATCTTTCTTGTTACAATAAATCTAGTTAAAGAAACTTCTGTTGAGTCTGATGCTTTTAGATATAATTGGTTATCAAAAACTTGACAAGCCATATTTATTTATTTCTCACATTTCTAGGCTGCTCAATTCCCAAATGATCTGGGCAGCTTCACAAACTAAACATACTCACCACCACCTCAAAATAATAATATCCAGCAGAGTACTCACACAGAAGAGACAACAAAACAACCCAACTTATTTCTACTAATCTTTCACTAAAAGGAGACCCACCCAAACCACCTAAGCCCATATTGAGAGATGAATAAATATTTTATAGCATTTCATATTTATGTTCAATTTTCTTTTACTGAGGACAAATAATTGTAAAAAACTATTAGGCATTACATAGGAAGATTTATAGGTGATATTTTTTTCTACTAGATACAAAATTCTGAATGCAAGTGCCATTCCAGAGGGCCAGTTCATTGATAGCAAGAAAGCTTCTGAGAAACTTCTTGGATCCATTGATGTGGACCATACCCAGTATAAATTTGGACACACCAAGGTATATATAAGTTTTTATCCTAAATACTGTTTTGTATTTTGTAGTGCTTACATATGACAATTGGTAATGCTTTTTTTTTTCAGGTGTTCTTTAAGGCTGGTCTTTTAGGTCTCCTAGAAGAAATGAGAGATGATAAGTTGGCCCACCTGATAACACGCACCCAAGCTATGTGTCGTGGTTTCTTAGCAAGAACAGAGTATCAGAAAATGTTACAAAGGAGGTGAGGATCCCATAATTATTTAAATCAATTCAGTCAGAAGGCTTTGATTGGTGGATCTGTGTTTATTACACGTAATTTAAGGCACACTTCTTAACTTTGTTGATAGGGAGGCTATCTTCACTATTCAGTACAGTGTCCGTTCATTCATGAACGTCAAACATTGGCCATGGATGAAATTGTACTTCAAGATCAAGCCCCTGCTGAAGAGTGCGGAGTCAGAGAAGGAAATGGCCAACATGAAGGAAGAGTTTGAGAAAACAAAGGAGAATCTTGCCAAGGCAGAAGCCAAAGTGAAGGAGCTAGAAGAAAAAATGGTGTCCCTGATGCAGGAAAAGAATGACTTGCAACTCCAAGTCCAAGCTGTAAGCACATAAAATGATATTAAATATTGTTCTTTTATTGGCTAGTCCAGCATAGTTTAGTAAGCAATCATTTATAGATTACAGGGGAAATCTATGGAAATCTGGGATTATTTAGAAATTCACCCTTGTTGTAACATATATTAAATACCTTATTACATCTTAATACTGTTTCATCATCTTAATACTTAATACTTAATACATCTTAATAAATCTTAAATTTTAATACATCTTAATACTGTTTCATCATTGACAGTATATAAAGGTATATAAAGACATCAAGTAACAGATAAACTATATTTGTTTTTATATTGTATGAACTAATATTATCAATTTATTAAGAAGGCAGTTGGAGTTAGGTGGCATCAAAAATCAAATAAATAAAGAAATTCTGCATTACATTGATTTTTATCCAATATACAGAAAATATTTATTTTTGTTTATTGTTCCAAAAACCACTGAGAGCTGATCCAATGTATATTTCTTAGTGAAATGTGACTTTCTCCATTAGATGAGGAAATTTTGTATATGTGTGAATATTTTAATTAGGAAACTTTTTTTAAAAAATGGTCCATACTTTTCTTTGATAGGAATCTGATGGCTTGGCAGATGCCGAGGAGAGATGTGACCAGCTAATCAAAACCAAAATCCAACTGGAAGCTAAAATTAAGGAGCTGACTGAGCGAGCTGAAGATGAAGAAGAAATGAATGCTGAATTGACAGCCAAGAAGAGGAAACTGGAGGACGAATGCTCAGAACTGAAGAAAGACATTGATGATCTTGAGCTGACACTGGCCAAGGTTGAAAAGGAGAAGCATGCTACAGAAAACAAGGTAATACTCAAAAATATATCAGAATTAAATTGCTACCCACTATTGCCATTGCATTTTAACCCTATCTCTTCAATTTTTAAAGGTGAAAAACCTTACTGAAGAGATGGCGGTCTTGGACGAGAGCATTGCCAAACTGACCAAGGAGAAGAAAGCCCTGCAAGAGGCCCATCAACAGACCTTGGATGATCTGCAGGCAGAGGAGGACAAAGTGAACACTCTGACCAAAGCAAAGACTAAGCTGGAACAGCAAGTAGATGATGTAAGTATGCTACCATCTTCAGAGAAGAATTGGTCTGAGGTGGAGGTACTGCTGTGTTGACACAATCTCCCTGATCTCTTTGTCTTCAGCTTGAAGGGTCTCTGGAGCAAGAAAAGAAACTTCGCATGGACCTTGAAAGAGCTAAGAGGAAGCTAGAAGGGGATTTGAAGCTAGCTCAGGAATCCACAATGGATCTGGAAAATGATAAGCAGCAGCTGGATGAAAAGCTGAAGAAGTAAGTATTAATGTCTATTATCAGGGGTTTTTTGTGCTAAATGGAGTTTTTTATTTGCTAATCATTATATTTTGTTGTGATAAGGAAAGACTTTGAAATCAACCAACTGCAAAGCAGGATTGAAGATGAGCAAGTCCTGGGCTCCCAGCTTCAGAAGAAGATCAAGGAGCTGCAGGTTTGTCATGCAGTGGTCCGTTCATGAATGGAGAATTAAGCTATCTGGAAGCCAGTTTCAGGGTTCATGGTTGCCTCTCTTTCTCTAGGCTCGTATTGAGGAACTGGAAGAGGAGATTGAGGCAGAACGGGCATCTCGCGCCAAAGCAGAGAAACAGCGGGGTGATCTCTCCAGGGAACTTGAGGAGATCAGTGAGCGTCTGGAGGAAGCTGGTGGAGCAACTGTAGCTCAGATTGAGATGAACAAGAAACGTGAGGCAGAATTTCAGAAAATGCGCCGGGACCTTGAAGAGGCCACCTTGCAGCATGAAGCCATGGCTGCTGCCCTCCGCAAGAAGCACGCAGATAGTACAGCTGAACTTGGGGAACAAATTGATAACCTGCAGCGAGTGAAGCAGAAGCTGGAGAAGGAGAAGAGTGAACTGAAGATGGAGATTGATGATCTTGCAAGCAATATGGAATCTGTCTCTAAAGCTAAGGTATGCTGTAATAAATCAAATAGTAAGTGAAAAGATGCTGGTTTTATACCTAAGTTTCTTTGTTATATACTGAAGTTAAAATTGTCTTCCTTGTCATTATTTCATGGTCTGTGTGTGTATGTGTGTGTGTACATAATTTAAATGCTCATAAGTCCCAATTTGTTTGTGTTATACAAGATGTGCCATCTATCCCACTTTATTTCTGGAGGCTGTTCTGTTTTCTTAAACACTTCAGGTATCATTACTAAATATTGAACATTGTAGTGTCTAGTAGTGAAGATAAATGATTGGTCCAGTGGAATCATTTAAAAGATTGCCCTTTTCTCTTTTTCCATGCTGCTTAGGCCAATCTTGAAAAGATGTGCCGCACACTAGAGGATCAGCTAAGCGAACTTAAAACAAAGGACGAAGAGCATATGCGTACCATTAATGACCTCAATGCTCAAAGAGCTCGCCTACAAACAGAATCAGGTAAAATGATGAAATATATTTTGGGAAATTATTTTGTTTCTTTTTGTCCCTAATGTGAAGAGTCTTGCTAAATTGGATTCACAAATTGATTTTTGAAATGAATTGAGCTGAATCCTGAAGCTCCCTCAGCTGAGAAAATGTTAATGTGACTTTTATTCCAAACATGTCATATGTTCCTTGCTATAGGTGAGCTCTCACGACAAGTGGAAGAAAAAGACTCTTTGATCTCCCAGCTCTCCAGAAGTAAGCAAGCATTTACTCAACAAATTGAGGAACTGAAGCGACATCTTGAGGAAGAGATAAAGGTACATAAGTTGAATTATGCAGATCTTTTATTATCTTTAACTCTACCAGAAGTACACACAGAACTTCCTGGGATGCTTCAGAAGATTTCCTAATACCACACTAGCCTTTGTGTGTGTATTTATTGAATTTTTCTATGTTCCTTTCTTTCTGTTCTCATTTCTTGTGAAATCTTATCCTGGAAGATGATTCTTAATTATGTTTGATGACTTGACAATTTGCAGAATCTCTAATATTGGTTAACTCTACAGGCCAAGAATGCCCTGGCTCATGGCTTGCAATCGGCTCGACATGACTGTGACCTCCTTCGAGAGCAATATGAAGAGGAGCAGGAAGCCAAAGCTGAACTACAACGTGCCCTGTCCAAGGCAAACAGTGAAGTTGCCACATGGAGGACAAAATATGAGACTGATGCCATTCAGCGGACTGAGGAACTGGAGGAAGCTAAGTACGTTCAATAAACATATTGAAACTTTCTAATAAATTTATAGTATGAATAGAGTTAGATGTGTGACTTTTCAGAAAGGGGTGTTTGCAGCAATAAAGATAAAGATAGTTCATTAATCAAACATTGTTCACCGAACAATATTTTATTGTGTGTCTTGGGATAAGACTCCTGAGATTTTGCAAACCTATTTATCCTAAATTTTACTGAAGCTGAAGCAGAATGATTGAAATGAGACTATTCACTAGACAGCTTGTTCAGCCAAATCAAATATTTTGCTACTATGGAACATTGGGTTTATGTTTCTTCAGGAAGAAGCTTGCTCAGCGTCTGCAGGAAGCTGAGGAACATGTAGAAGCTGTGAATTCCAAATGTGCTTCCTTGGAGAAGACCAAGCAGAGGTTGCTGAATGAAGTGGAGGACCT